AAAATAGAACTTTTTTTTCCGAATCCGAACAGACACACCTCAATTAGTTGGGATTACCGGGGTTTTTACTGTAGGCTATTCAAATAAAGTGATAAAGTGTGCGGTATTTGCAGTTGACGTGGAACCATGTTTTTTTTCAAAGTTATGCCGATTTGAAGCAGATATTTTATGGTGTAATATGTAATTTGCATTTAAGTTCGAATCTGTTCACGCGGTAGGCTATTTCATTCTATTTGTCAAACCTAACTGGCAGAACCAAATGAGAATTTTCCACCTCCAAGTAAGAGACCGGAGAGAGGTAACTTAGAACGGAGAGGTTAATTCACTAAACGTTATAAAGGAACCCACCAACTTTCAAGGGCGAAAATATTTTACAATTATAGATGAAATTATGTTAAAGAGTGAATATTTTGCAATTTTCCGTTTTTTCATATTTTCGGACGCACGTTCTGTTCGTTTTCTTCGTTTTCGGATGCTCTTTATGAGATTGTATATAGCGATGAACAGAACTGAAGCAGCTGTTTTCAAGAATACAGATATTAATTAAGGAAGAATTAGCATTCATGCATACCTTGTTATGCAATTTTTTATTCGTTAAAAGTCTAAGATTAAAATGTTTCAAATATAGGCATTCAATATTATAATAAAAGTTAGTTTTGTAGCCTCGCATATGCATTTGTATAGAGAAAATCTCGTAATTTACAGGTAAAGTGTGATTTTACTTTCTGTCTTCACCACGTTTTATAGAAAAACGATAGTAGTTGTCAAAAACTGCGTCAGAAAGAGCTATTATTTTCACATTCCAACATAAAGTGTATTGTTGGGACAGGTAGAAAAAAATAGTATATAGTGTTCGCGTATGTTTGTAGAATTCTTCCTGTAATACGTTGTGGCAGGTAGGATTCCACTTTTTGTAGCCATTGATACTAAAATCGATTGACAGTAAAGAGTTCTGTCTGTCTGGTCTGTGTAACTATAAAACCATTCTGACGATTTTTTTCTTCGAATCCAATTCAGTGTCAATGTGACTAACTGCCGCCTGGAGTATGAAAAATAGTTTGACTTTTGGCCGGGATACTTTACATAAATCTTTAACATGATTTTTCAAATTTTTCTCTAAATGGGTCCGATTTTAATTATCTTTGTCTTCGAATATCGTAAAAACACTTTAAATGACTGTCTTATTTTCGTTGACTCTGAAGTTATAAAATGTAAAATTCAACATTTTTCAAAGTCTTCCCAACAATACAAATTAAAAATGGGAGATTTTCTTCTTCAATAAAGGTGTCCTTTATATAAGAGTGTATGTGTTGAAATAAGGTATCTATACTTCTTAGATATGTGTGTAGTTTTGTGGTGGCATAAAATATAGTCATGAAATTAAATTTTTTGCAAAAGTTCCAATTTTTTAAATATTTTTTTATTGTAGAGTACGCTTATAAAAATGAGTAAGGTTTCAATTTTTGGTGAATTTTTCTATTTTGAAATTTGCAAAAAAGAAACCAACTTACAAAAGTATGATTTTGAGCAGAGAGATTTTTTTTCTTTATAAAATATTACTGTAAATTAGATATTTCCAAGTCTGTAAATTTATTTGAATAGCAGGAATTTTCGCGTAATTTTCAATGAGTAAGGGGAATTTATACACCCATTTTTCCAGATTTCCCGGCGTCATAATTTTTTTATTTATTTTTTTAATACGGATAAAAAAGACTAAAATGCAGTCTCAGGGTGAAGCTAACATTACTATATTGATAATAAAGGTACTGAACTGTTTTTAACGAATGTGTATGTTCGGAGATTGTAGAATATAATATTCGTTGTGTTAGATTGGGAGTAATTTAATGTGATTCTTTCGTGGATTGATGAAGATATGAATACTTCGTATTAACGTCATTACAGTATTTTTCGGGTAATTTTAGTCTTTTCTTTAAATCTTTAGAAAATCCAAATAATGAGCATTGTCAAAACTAGTGATCACAGAAAGTAATTTTTGGGATCCACTGTATAGTAAAGTGTCTTGCAAAATCTTTTAGCAAATTGTAGTAAAAGTTAAATTGTTTTTATTATACATTTATATAAATTTTACCAAAACAAACAATGTGTCGTACTCATGTTAGGTAGTGTAATACTTATTCGTTGTAATTTCGTTCAGGTCTTCCGTTTTGATGCAAATGCGGGGTTGGGTCGTATTTGCAATGGTGAGGTTCAAATCTGAATGACGAGAATTTTTTTAATAATTTTCTTGTTCGACCGTTGATTGATGGGAAAATTCGAATTTGGTTCTCTGCCGCGATATTCAGCGATTTTTCAGGTAGCTATCCTCGGCCAATATGTGGTATTCTTATGAAGTGATATGATTGATCCTCTGATAAGCGAAGGTTGCAAACCCGTTTTTTGGTTTTTAGATTTTTATCATAAAGATTTTTATAGTAATTATGCGTTTACCTGGAAAACTACATTAATGGCGTATAACGTCCCTAAAATGATTTCAGTGAGTAGAATATTGACTTCCCATAAAATATTATGTTGCCAACTTAATCTGATGTAACGATTACTTATATGTTGGTACGATTTTGTTGATGAATTTGATATAAAATGTTATTCAAAATTGTGCCATTATGTGATCGTTTATAATGCTTAGTATGATGTATTCAGTTGGCATGAACTTACTCACGAAAATTATTTTTTTTAAAATATAGCTAGTTATTTGAATTGGTTGGTTTAATGAATTTGCTAATGAATTTGAATTTTTTACCTATTTAATAGATTTTCATTTCACTAAGGAAATTGTGGCCTAATTTAAAAACATTTAGAGTACAGGTGTTTACCCACTTTGATCATATATTTAATTTTTTACATTAATTTATAACTGATTTTATATGATCGGACTGCCTAACATTAAATACCACAGGTACCAATATCTATTATGTAGGGCCGGTTTAAGAAAGAAACTTATAATAGTTTGCACCTTGAATCTCCTAGATAATTTGATTTAGATTACGTAGTCAGGAAGCGATTGCAGCAGATAATTAGTTGCTAAGCAGTTTTCATTACCAGATTTCCGAAAGTCAGGGGTTACAGTCTTATTGTGGTCTAGGAGAGATCGCACCACCGATCATGTCAATTCGATACGATAGGTGAAAGTGCAAGAGGTTATATTAAATTATTCCTAAGAAGTTTGAGAGGATAATGGTACGTGGTGCAACGTGGTGCGCTGACTTAGTCCCAGTTTGTGCAAGTAGTTTTACCCGAAGTTAATATTAGGGATGAGGTGGAACGAGTAAAAAGCTATTGCTTATGTAGAGCGGAGGTTGTGGCGCAGCAGCAAAAGCGATTGATTCTGTCAGAGAGGGTGGGCCGGTGAGGGGACTATGGAGGTAGGGAACGCATTGCAGTGTTTGTCGCGTTTCGACTGGCACGTCAGCAGAGAAGAGAAAGGTGGGAAGTGAGGGATGTTCCCCTAGAAAATGGGTGTATTTTTGTGAGGTCGCTTTTCACGTGGGTACGGCATAGATGTGACTGAGACCGTCAATGGAGGTGATGTAACGTATACGTAATTACCTGCAAATTTAAGAATTGCGTTTTCGATACACGTATGTTCGTGGCCTTTGTTTTACTTCCATTCAATATATTTGGTTTTTACTTCAGTTATTATTTTCAAACTAATAAAAGCTTTTGACAATTAAAATGTACTATGAAAGGAGTAGATTTCTATAGATTCTATTTAATTCGTGATAACCTATTGATCAATGACTAAGTTTACTATAAGTGCAGTTTAGCGTAGCTTAGTTATGAGGTCAATTTAAATTCGAATATTTCCCCACTTTGATGTCACAGAAACAAATCTTATTATCGAATATGTTCTAAATTCTGCCTCGAGTTTGGGTTAACTTGACTTGCCTTGTAGTATTTTTCTTATGTGCGTAAGTTTTCCGGTGAAGAGATATTTGTATCGATTAAAAGATATATTCGTCATAGACTAAGAATTTTTATTAGCCAGGTACTCCGTTCAAATTCTGACTCATCTTTACAATATAATTATAATAATATTACATTAGGATACTTCTATAAAGAGTATGGCAATAATCCACTTTGGTTGGGTTAAGAGGTATCTTTATTCGTTTTTTTCAGTTTTTGATGTGTTTTAATACTGGTAGGAGTGTTGGTTCTGTGTTTTTTTCTTGCTGTCTTGTGTTTGAGCTGGTTTTCATTATCTCTAAGAAGTTTTGACGGAATGTTGAGTTTGTAGAAGTGATGTTGTTTTCTACTTCCCACGTTATTTCAAACAGCTCACCCTGATATCTATCCATCAAAGCATATATTCTCTACACACACGTTCATCCTCATACATGAAGGTGGTGAGAAATCTGAAAAACTAAAGGCTGCGCTCAAATATGAGTTAAGAGTCGATTGGAACGAAAGGCACAGTGTGTTTTCGAATTCATAAACACAAAATTATAGTTTTTCATGACAATGGTTCTTAACTTTAAGAATGTGTTATAGGGTTACCCATGTTTACTGAAATTATTTGTAAAGGTTCTCACCGCTACACGAGCTTGGAATATAAAGCGCACAAGGGTCTCCAAACCAAACTTGATTTTTAATAATGATTTATCATATTTATTTATATTGTTTATGATAACTTTGGTTTTAATTTTTCATATTTGAGATATTGTTGTATGTGTATATGTATTCGGTAACGTACGTCTTCTCTCTCTCATCTTTTTATCCTTCTCCTCCTCTCTCTCTTTCTCTTTCTCTTCTTTCGGCTTCTCGCCTTCTCGTTTCTTGTCGTCCTTTTTTCCTTCTTCCTCTCTATCCTCTCTCTCCTTTCTCTTTTCTCCTCTTTCTCTCTTCTTATCTTATCTTTCTATTTTGTTTTGTATAACAAGTTATCAAATCAGGTGAGAATCGGTGTACTATTTTATAGAATGAGTTCCCGGCAACAATTGCAACATTCCAGAATACAGCTAAAAGAATGTCAGATTAAAATCAGCCTAACAGAGAGCAACGATGGCCGCGTGCCGCGACATCACCTCGCGCACCATCTCCTCCAGCCGCATGTTCTTCTCGTTCTCCGCCTTCTCGCGGTTCTGCCGCTTCTTGCGCACGATCGAGCGGATGCGCTCGAAGCTGCGCGCCAGTTTCGACTCTTCCCCCACTTCCTGCAAGGAAGCGGAAGGCCGTGGGCGGCTAGAGGCACCCCGCGTCCGACCTGGCCGGTGGCTACTAATTAATCAGTGTTGGCAACAGGGCTTGCAATTTAAATGCGGCACGGTAGGCGCTCTATGTAGGTGGGCCAGCTTAAATTCATAGCTCAGCACTTTTGGGTAATTCCGAGAGCATGTTATGCATGTGACTTGCTCCAAATGAGAACCCTGCTAACTGAGTAATAATGAACACAAAGTGTAGGAGTTAACATTTACTATGGAATTGCGAGTATGATATTATGAATTATTATGAATCGAACAACCACAAAAATGCAAAGCACTGAGATGCTGTTCCACTGGGTGGGAGATGAAATTACAGGCAAGTGTCATCCAGACAAACCCATTACAATATGTATTTTATCTATTTGTTGTAATGCATTATACCATTATTACACTGATCTATAAATGTTCAATCTGATCGATGAGAATTATGGACATTATGTAAATGTGTAATATAGATGATTTTCTATCCAACAATTTGAATTTTGGCCCGTGATTATTTAATTGTTTCAATATGAAACTTGTATCAGTATATGTAAAGGTTAGACATATTTTTTCCAAGTTCGAAATTTAATTATTTGTAGCTCACGATTTTAAATAATAAATTCAATGTAAACTGCCACATTTGAATAGTATTCAATACTTATCTTTTAATTTATTGTTTTCTTATGATTGTGGAAAATGTTCCATTTTTGACAGCACTTAAGTAGTCTTTTTGCCAACACTTATAAGTCCCATTACTACTCACAAGAAAGAGCAGAAAAGCAACGCCTCAGGCTCTTACATACCTCTTTCTTCGACTTGAGCTCCTCCGAATTGAAACTGTTCAGCAACAACGCCAAGAACAAGTTCAGCACCATGAAGTTGCCCATCACGAGAGCGGGCAGGAAGATGGCGAAGCAGGCCTCGGGACCCTGCGCCACAAAAAGGGGGAATGCCCTTTGTGTTTAGACTGGGGAAGCTCTTTGCCATCAATGGCTTCGGCAAAAAGAGAAGACTCTAATGACTTGGAGGTTGTTCAAAGGCATTTACCTTGTCCTTCTCAGCCCGCATGCAATCCCAAAGCGGTTCGATCCACTCTCCGCAAAGGATTCGAAAAATCATCATAAAAGAATGGAAGAAGTCGTTGAAATTCCACCTGGAAAAAATAAAATTAATTAAATATTATTAGAAGAGAAACATCATTTCAATTAAAATTGAGTTTTTATTTTAGTTATCTTCTCTGCATTTCTAACTATTATTGTATCGTTTTCCTTCCTTCCTTTATTTCCAATTACTATTGCATCATTTTAAAATTCAGGAATAAGACATATACTTTTGATATTTTGAAAACAACGGTGAATTATGAGGTATGAGGACGTTTATTTGAATTTCAAACCAATATTAATTATAAACGATTTCTTGATTATGTAACATTAGATTTTGTTGTTATTTTCTTCAATATCTTAAAATGTTTGAAAGCATGAACACAGTGTATTTATTAATACATCCACTGATTCATAACAATTAATATAATAATTAATAACTTTTCAAATTTATTCATAAGAATAACTGTAGGTAAACATTAGATAATATGCTGATATTTTTTAATGTATTTGAAGTTTCCTACATTAAGTGCAATATTCATTTACACTGGTTTCCTTTCCTGTAATTAAAATTACCTTACATTTAGCGGTAACGTCAAATGACCGGACGGTAATGATGACAGACATGACTCGCAAATGTACAGCAACTTTTTTATTTCATTCAGTCGGTGGCACGTCGACTAATACAGTGCTAAATTAAAAACGACGTAATATTTTTAAAATGAGAAGATAGGAAAACCATATGTAATCGTTTCGAATGCAAAAGCGAAACCATTTATAATCAAAAGGAATTTTAAATATTTTAACAAACGAAACGGATTGTTGAAATGGTTTGATGCCTTGTTTTTTTTAAGTCAAATGGATGAATTCTTCGATTATTAATCGTGTTATGAATAAATGGTGGAATAATAAACCACCCTAAAAATGGTTGGTAAGTGAATTTAACGCACAATAAATTCTAGCTTGTAGAGCTAAAATCATTGAGAAAAAATCATATAATGTAATTTTTGGCTGCAAAAAAGGTTCCCCAAATAGAGTAATCTAATGGATCACGGAAAATGGTATTATTATGATTTACTGATATTGGAGTTTTATAAAAACAAAAATTGAGTTTTATAAAACTAGGTGAAGTGTTTCATAGCAAAATTTAAATAACTAGTCAAAAATAGAATTCATAATTCATTATGGGCAATTATTTGATCTAATATCTAACGAATAGCGATTAGAATTTTTTCTAAATGTCCTTTTTGACCGATTTAAAAAGGCAAATTTATAATGTCAATGTGGAAGTTTGTGTAGCATCTGTTATTTTGATGAATAATTATAATTAACCGTTGTTTTTTACTACATAGTTTTGATACATTTTTGTTCCGTTTACGTTAATAATATGGGGACTGTATTATGTCATTTTGCATCATCTTGTCTCCGCCTTTTATGTAAAGAGTAATGTGAATTAAAGATTCTCATTCGAGTATAATGTTAGAGGTTAATCTAAATATCAGGAACATTTGTTTATTTACAGATATCTAAATAGGCGTTATCTTTTTCTGGAAACTCTTTGCGCTTCAACACACACCTTGGCACAGGATCTGGGTAAAACTTCTCCCACGTGTAATCTTTGGAGAAGAGCTGCATTCCGATCACGGCGAAGATGTAGATGACGATAACGAGCACGAACGTGAGGTTACCCAGCGCGCCGATGGTGGAAATGATGATGCTGAGCAGCACCTTCATGGTGGTCCAGGACTGCGCCAGCTTCAGAACGCGGAGCTGCACGGTTAAAAAAGTATAGGATTATATACAACATATTAGTATATTAAAGGGATTCGGCAAAGGCAACTTTCCACATTTTCCTTAAACAGATACACTGAATTTTGTGTTTTGAAATAAAGTACATATTAGCATTATTAAACAATATTTAACACACGTATTGCTTAGTTTAAATTATGATTATTTTCCACTATTACATTACATACATAATATACATGAAGCTTCTCTATCATTTAAACATTTTCTCAAAAGTGCTTACAAGTTTTCTGATTAAACATTTTCTGATAGGGCAAAGGACGCTTAACAAAGGCGCAGGTATGCTTTTTATTGAACTCTCAATTTCGGAAAATTGCATCTGTTTAATTTTTTTGGCGTCTTCGTACAATAATGTTGAATACAGATTCTGTATTACAATCTGCTCTGAAAGTTTAAATATTTAAATAAAATGCTGTAAATTTTTGTAATCAACTAGTTTAGTTAATTAGTATTTTTTCTCCTCAAAAGTTGTCTAACACATTGCATTAAATCTTTTTTCTCGTGTAGAGCAGAATACTTGGCGCTGGATACGTGTTTGTAAGGCACTCTGAATTTTTGAAAACTGCAAAGTTTACAAATAATACAAAAAGGTTTGTGCAGTTTAGCATCACTACTTTAGAAAGGATTATTCACATTGTAAGTTCTGTTACTACACTACTACAACGGACATTTAAATGTCAAAACATATTTTTTAGACTTTATCTCAATCGTACTTATTTTTAAAACCACCAGATGCCGATAGTTCGATTTCTAAAATAATTTCATGAGTACTTCACAATGTTTTTCATTATCGTCAAAATTATTCAGCTGTTCTCGATGTTTTAGGGTCTACATATCTGAAACCTTTTTCCTGGCGACGACACACTCGATAAACGTGACACTTGTAGTGCTGATCAGAGGCGCATTCCACAGCCGCGATTTTATGATACTAGAATTGTGGTAATTGTTGTGCAAGCAATAAGGTAATTGAAAGATTTACAAGATTTAAACAATCCTCCGAAGTAATGAATTTGTGTTTATGAATTTAACCTTCATTTATAAGAATTTCTATATCAAAAAGCAGTGGCAGTTTGGCGAAGGACATCATCTGGGGATGGGAACTTAAGCAAAACTATGGATTTAGAACTGGTTGCTCATCTACATTAACTAGACGCTGCCATAAACAAACAAAACGGTTAAGTAGCTTCACATTAGCATTTGGAATAATTGTTGAGAAGCTGGGTACATGGGATCTACGGATAATTACGTAACTCTGTCCTTCCTAATGTCCAAGGGTTCAGAAATGCTTAATGAGTCACCCTAAACGAATTCAGTCCATAGAAGTATAAATACATTGACCAAATCGAAATGAATTCTCTTGATCTAAAGCAGGAATTTTTATATTCCAGCACCAACAGTAGACACCCACGAGTAGATCGATTTGAGTTAGACAGATGTTCATAAGCGATGTAGCTAGAATTTTTATGAGGTTTTAAGGCACCTATCAATTTGCAAGAAAAAGTACTTGAAAATATTTTAATAACATCGTTACAAACGTCTCAATAACATAAGATAGAAAACTAAAGACTTCTCACACAAATCCGGAAGATATACCCGTTAGCGAGATCTGAAATATTTCCTGCAACAAAATCCTCTCTGCCTCATCTGAAACACGATACACCTAAGATTCAGACTACTGAAAAAGAAACTAGTCGAGATAAAATATCACCTACTTTCGCACATTATTTTTAACGGCAATATTATAACACAAATACTTGAAGAAAAAGAACCCTTTTTTTATCAGGGGATTGAAAACGCGAATTCTGGTTTCACCATTAATTCGATAAAGTAACTTCCAGAAGTAAAACATCTACTTCTTTGGTATAATGTATCCACAAATCGCGTTTTCGGTCTAGAATGCAGTATTTTTTTCTTGCAGCAATACATAACATTTTGTGTCTAAGTATTATATGCAAGGAAGTAAACATTATTGAATGATTGAACCCATTTTAATAGAATCTTTTATACCTATAAATTTTATAGTTAACTAAAGTGGGGTGATGTCAGTACGGTATATCCCAAAACCTTGCTCATAATTAGAACGAGAAATACGATTAGTGGAATGAGATAATGCATCATTACAATTCTTCAAATGGTCCACTGATTTTTTTTCTCTCGTTGGTCGTTACCTATATCCTTTACGTCCACCCCAAAGGATTTTTAAAGCCGAAATGTTTCGCCATAAACTGGATGCTATTTCCAGAAAACCGGATCAACGGAACATTAATGGTAATGATCCTGCTAGGTGCGCAAATGGCGCTTTAACATCTGCTAATTAGAAGATATCTAACTCGTTCATTAGAAATTTGGTCACATAGCATCCAACAATAAAGTTAATTCCTGACAATTATATTATTTCTATTGTTTCTGTTATCATTCAATGTGATGTGATTTTTTCATTGAAACTAATATTACAATTGACAAAAAGAAATTTATAGACAAGCTGTACTGAATGAAACTAATATTCTAGCTCTCACTTTAAAAGTTTACAAATACCGGAAATTCATTTTTTAATAAAACATTAATGAGTTCCAGGAAAACTTCTTACACCTTCTAATGAATTTTAATGTAAATGAAATCAGTATTTAATATTCAATTTCACACATAATTTATACAATAATGAAATAACAAAACATCGGTATTTATTTTGATTTTGTAAATTTTAGTGCATGTGGTTATACTTTTGCGGCAATACTTAATTTTTTTGTATTCCAGCATTATAAAAGAACCTTTCCTGTTGCAAAACATCGTTCATAATCAAGCATTTTATGGCACAAATAATGACGTATTAGATTTTATGTCACGAATGATTGCGTCATCAGACATTCAGCCAATCGCAGCGAAAGAATCGGGGGGAGGTAGAGCTAAACTGAACAGCCGACCACCGTTTACTCGCACGATGTCTAATACCCGAGTCGTCACAGGGAAGTTGTTTCGCAAAATTCAGTGTGATTCTCTTATAAATGTATAATGCTGTTATATAAAAAAATATAGTATGCAACTCGTTTATAATGTTGCTTTATTACATTCGTACAAATTTGAAACCTCGATCATAAAGTCGCTCGTTTTCAAAATATGTACTCATGCAATAAGGCTTAACATTATAAACTAATTGCATAAAGTACTATTAAAAGCTGGTCAATAATACTAAAGCAAGAACGTGGAATATTTTTATGTACTATTTGTGTCGTTCATAATCAGTTTTCAACTGTATTCCTCAGTATGACAAGGTTGTTACGCCTTGAAGTGCCAATTGTGAGACGAGGGGTACGGGACAATCACACATATGACTATGTCTACGCAGGACTCGAGCCTGCAGCCTCCTCAGTGCAGACGACGGCTGCCGCTACCGTTCGCGCCACGGGGCAGACTTAGTACTTATTATTGTAAAAGTTTTCTAGATTCACAAAAAAATACTCCTTTGCGTTTGAAATGTTACACAAATACCTATAAAATAATTAGTAATATAACAGTCTTCTTATTTCATTTACAAACGAAAAGCTGGAAAAATGTAGCAGTATTAATTACACGAAATTCAAGGACAAGATAATTGCAGAAATGAATGACTCTTTCTGACTGATATTCTTTTGCACTGACTTTGTAAATATTGAAGAGACTATTATAATTTCTACATTTCAGTCAATCGTTCAACTGGAGATCAACGGAAGATAAATGATTAAATACCTAGTGTCTCGTTGCGCACTGGGGATGTACAACTTCGGGGATTAGAGAAAAGCTATAGGAGCAGGATTTTAAAGGATGTCAGCTTCAGATAAATTTACAATTAATTAGTGAAATAAACAAAAAATATAGATTTGTTAAGAAGAACATGTGACATAATACAAAATTATTTTAAAACAAATAAATGGGGAAAGGATATAAAATAATAAAAATATGACCGTCAAGTGAGAACACTAAAGAGAAGACCGAACTACCTGCTGTCTTAGTGAAGTATTGGAAGATGCTTGTACTGGCTCGTACGGACCGTAAACACGTACGCACGTTTTCTGGAACCGCAGCGCACCTAAGCTTCAATGCACTATTCACACTTCAATGCACACGCCGTTTAGGCCACGAGAATATTCCAAGAGTCTTGCTCTGCAAGTACTTGGGAATAATTTTAACAGGAAATACGGATGGAAAAATCATGTTAAATTTGTCGCAATGTAAGACTATGTCTTTTCATTTTACAATGTGAATACTAAAAAAGTGTTATGTAATATCGAGTAAATTAACTTTTTATCGTTTGCTCGTTTATTAATTGAATACTGGATGATTCTGGGACATGTATGATAGAAATTTACAGAAGAAAAATTTAAACAGAATAGAAAGAAGAGCCAAAATACTTCCCGAGGTAAAAGGAAGAAAGTAGAACGGAGGTCACTAGAAATAAGGAGGGTTAACACAAAGCTCTGAAAACTACATGACGGTTATCTATAGCTCGCTCGGTTTGGAAAGTTATCTACAGCTCACTCGGTAGACTCCGTACTTTGGTAGAAGGAATCACTAGCACACAAGTCAGTTGATGTCACAGAAAATAGATATTTAAATACTTTCCTTTTCAAATACAACACTAACCTACTGGAATTAGTGTCCTGCAATAGTCTTTGAACCCTTACCTCTAAGCGTTTAGGAGCTTACAATGAAATTTATTAATAATAATAGTACATTTTACTGATTAATAGGTTAGACGTGGTGAAACAGCTATTATTACTTAATTGGTTAATATTACATATGTAAAGTACTTATTTTTAAGTGATAGTATTGACGTTTTGTGACGTATCGTGAGTTTAAAATATCTGCGTAGGATAGCCATAAAAGCTTTTAGTTACAGTTGTTCTTATTGTTATTATCTTTGATATTATTGGCATTAGTATTATTACTATCATAATTACTATATTATTATAGTAAAATAATATTTATATTGTATAATGTAATTTCAATTGTCATGTTCGTGAATTGTCGTGTTCTGTCACTAGGTTATATTTGCCTGTCTGCAGAAATAACACATTTTTATTTGCCTACAAATCAGATGAATTTGAAGAACGCAAAGTGTGTAACCTACTAAAAAATATCATGGGAACTAAATTCGATTGTTACATCGGATCTGGCACCAGTGACAACAATCGCAAATAGTAAAAAATTTAACCTGGTGGTCCTTTCAAAGTGACCCTTCTGATAATAAAGAAAGGTTGAAATTGAGAAAACCTTAAATTTGATATTCAAAAAATTTGATTGTTCTGTACATTATAATGACTTTTTAATATGCGAGTTTGATTTCATCCCGTCACTTTTGGTGGGTTACGCTAATAATAATAATAATAATAATAATAATAATAATAATAATAATAATAATAATAATAATACCGTCTTTTATTTAACTATCGGCAAGGTAATGAGCAATCGATTAAGTCCAATTTCCACTAGGATATCGTTCACTTACCAAGCGCAACCCGCGAAGTACAGACAGCCCATCAACCAGCTCGAACGACAGATCGAGAAGGCTGGCCGACACGATGATGAGATCGAAGATGTTCCAGCCGCACGCGAAGAACTCTTTGCTGAGAGCCAGCAGCTTGAGGAAGCACTCAAGGGTGAAGATCGACGTGAACACC